ATTGCTATTTCCGTGACCCCTTAAACATATTAAGTAACCCAGCCAGTGTGGAATGAAGAACGTACATAGTGGTGAGTGGTGGCAGGAGCCAAGATAGCAGACTTATTCCTCATGCCCCCTTAGAGCACGATGTCAGACACATCACTCGAACATTTATTCAACGCGGCCAAACTATCTGTTTCAACACCGGAAAATGTATTTACGCTACCAACAACACAGCCAGCTCCGAAGGAGTGCTTGCAACAATTGACAGAAATAGTTGACCGGAAACTGGCATATTTTGACGAAATTCTTAGCGCATTTCTCGTTATTAGAGTATCGTCAGAGCCTCCAGATGCTGATGGAAGGCCTCCCGCCGCTTTGGTGACCTTTCTTACCTTCTTACAAGTGGCTCTGGAGGCATCTTATATATCACCTGCCCCTGATCCACTACCAGCTGGTTCAGAACATTCCTCTACACAGTTACTTGGGCCACCACCTCCTGGTCGCCCAGGAGCAAAACCTCGCCCTGGGAGTTCTCTTAAGCCTCGTCCACCCCCTCTTCAACCCCCACAAACACCTAATCCTACCCCCCAGAGCGCGGAATCAGACAAGCAATATGCAATAGCTGAAGGCATTCAGCTAAATGCGTTCATATGGGGGGAATCCATGAACAAAGAAACGAGGAAAGACGAATTTGCCTTGGTCTGGGATGAGAGCACAAGAGAGTGGGTTGCTGTCTACAGAATGGATACGACCATAGGTATGATAGGCTCGAAATATAGCTCTCATTACTCATTATCCCGTAGTCTTTCTGAGGACACGAGTTCCCGATCCATTGCTTTGCTTGACGGTTTCTATCACTCTTAGAGACAAACCTCTAGTAATAACACCGGCAAGGCGCCCGATATTTGATCTAATCCAGGGGGAGAGCGACTCTCTAGCTCCGGCTCATCAAACTAGCCGAGCGCCCACTCCGTTCGAATCCGATTCGTGGGGGTTGGAAGAGATCAATCTTTTAGATGGCCTTTCAAGTGGGACCACATTCCCGAGAGCAGAGGGTACCCATGGGTTGTCATTACCTTCCACTAGAGTCGCATCTATCGTACGAAAGCAATCATACTGGCTACCTCCAGTTAATACAGGCACTAGTCCTTTGCCATCATCACCCACTACTGCGAGAACATCGAGGCCGATATTACGAAAAGCTTTCCGCAAAACACTTAGCACTTGTAATGGATTTCATGTTCGCATGAGGACCATCTATGTGCCCTATGTGCTTATCCCAGGGGTAGGAGATGATGAGGAGGAACGAAGGGAAGCGGGCAGTGAAGAGCGAAGTGTTGTGCTTTGTGTCGAAATCGAGAACACTGGAGAATCTTTGAAGGACTTCGAAGTGAGCGCTGTGAAGGTGGCAGTCAGTGGTGAAGGAGCTTCTTCACGCTTGATCAGCTGGGGAGAAAGCCAAGCCAAAATGGATCCAGAAAGTGTCTTCCCACTGCGACTTCGGCCGATAGAACAGTACAACTTGCTCTATTCGGTCACTTTTTTGCATCCTACGAATGTCGAAGATCAGGTTATATCCCGTAAAATGGGACAAGCACCACAAATGCTGCCGCCTTCGAGCGACCTGCAACGATCCGTATCTATTGTGATTAGTGGACGACCGTGCGAAGTGCTAGATGGGGAAGTTAAGTATGTAATCGACACCTTCAATTCCAAATGGAATTGCGTACTTAACTTGTCACCTCACCAACAACCGGATATGGGCGACTATCAACTCAATGAACCCCTTTCCGTTGGTGATGCCCTACCAACACCAGCCTCCCCCTTTCCAGTATCAACGCCGCGTATACAGACCGAATTTGAACGTAATCATCCTATCTCAACCTCGAGGTCGCCTACAATTGGAGGAAGTAAGCGACATACAGTAACGGGTCTCAGTGGCCGTAGAAATACCATTCCATCACCCATCAAGGTTCGGTTTTCTCTTCCCGTAGGAATTACAGCAACTTCGACCCCTTCCACCTCTGGTATGAAGCCAGGTATTCCTGCACCTCCCCTGTCATCGGTACCGAGCACTCCAAGCACGGCTAATCCGTACTTGAATATCCCCGCAACTCCTGCATATCCCGCTTGGTCTCCAGATGCTCAAAGTGTCCCACCAACCCCTTACCAATCAGCTCCATTCATAGGACAAATAGGAAATGCAGTAGGGAAGCTGGTGGAGCCTCATCGCGATCGACGGATGGGACTAAATGGTGCCTTATTACCATCTACTCCTGGCCCAGCCGCGTTTATTCCTACGATATCCGAGCGAATCACGAATCTGGAACCTTACTCGGAACCTGTAGTTGTTTCTGTCGCTCTTTTGAGTCCAATACAAGCTACTGGGTCTCTAGAGGTTCAAAAACGAACACAGAAACGAGATTGGATTTATCCTTTGGATATATTTGCTCTGGAAATATTCGTTTTCAACCAAAGCCCCGTTACCAGGCGCTTTGAAGTCTCTTTACCAGACAGAAAAAGGCATAGAAAACAGCTCTTGGAAGACAAACGGCGCAGCGCTATGCAAGAGCAAGCACCATCGAATTTTTGCCTGGTTGGCGATGCACTCTCCCGAATAGGAAGCCAAGCCGGTATATTGCCTCTAGAGAACCGTATTAGAATAGGGTATGTGCCTATCACAGCTTTCGGTGTTCATTGCTCTGATGGCCTTTAGACCACTGCGTCCGGAGACTTGCCAGTCCGTTCGCATGCAATTCATCGCTCTTAGACCTGGCTTGCATTCTGTGGACACTTTAACTATTACAGACACAGAAGCCGAGTTTTCCCTTAACTTAAGGTATAGTCTGGCCTCCACGCGACCCTACCTCAGTTGACGACCCTTCTCCAGATCGGTAATGGACGTGGTCGTCCGAGACCCCTTTGATTAAACAATACATTATACTCATCGA